TTTGTTCTCTGCTTAGAGGGTATGGGTTTTTGGAATCAGAGTAAAAGTAGCATCAATTTAATGGAGGTGATGTGGTTTACTGGAGCCTTACTGTTAAGTTCTGATTCCACTCGTATGGAATGAGATTTACCCTGTGGTGTGACTTCCTTGTAGGACGAGCTCCTTGAAGATGTGACGAGTATCCTAGCTGGAGCTGATATAGCCAGCCTTTTCGACCATGAGGACCTTGAGCGTATCTCTTTGGATCTAAAAAGAGATGCGATACTTCAAGGCGTTTCAGATACGAAAGAAGCCATCTTTCGGTTCTTCCTTGAACGCGTCAAGCAGAAGCTACACTTGGTCCTCTCCACCACCCCCGCGGGATCCAGTTTTCGGCGGCGTTGCCGCCTGTACCCGCCCCTCATAAACTGTTGTACAATTGACTGGTTTGACAAATGGCCTTTGGATGCCCTTCAGTCAGTGGCCGTGTCTTTTCTGGAGCTTTCAGAATTGGGGAAAGATCCAGAGTCGAATGAGGCTCTACTGGAAAGTGTTTCTAAAGTCTTTGTTGAAGTTTTCAATAGCGTTGAACAGGAGACGCAGAAGTTTTATGAAGAGTTGCGCCGACGATATTACACGACTCCGACAAGTTACATGGAATTTGTTCGCTTGTACCTGAGTAAATTAAACGACAAGCGAGCTGAATTGAGTTTTAACCGCGATAGATTGTGTACTGGTTTGCAAAAGCTTTCAGAGTCTAATGAACTGGTGGGCACAATGCAAACTGAGTTGTTACAATTAGGGCCCAAACTTGAGAACAAAGCTAAGGTATGTAATCTTGCGAGGTTTTCAATTTTGTTTGTTTGTTTTGTTTGTTTCGATGCGTGCGCTAAAGTGCGTGGGTAGTATATTGCTTCGTCCTTTCCTTCCTGTTTGTCTTTACGTCTGCATGTTTTCTTGTGTCTGTCTGTTTCAGTGTGTCTGTGTGTGTTCGTCATTTGTTTTATCTCTGTTTTGTTCTTTTTATCTCTTTCAATCGTTAACGAGTTTGCCATTCCATTCTCACCTTCCTGTCTTTCATTCTACCTTTCTTCTCCCCTTTTCTCTTTTAGACGGATGCGTCTTCTGAGTATATCATCTCTTTCTACCATCTCACTTACTTTATTTACTCACACAAAGCTTTGACTTTGTTGATCCCAGCAATATGAGAACTCGTATCACATTTAGTGAACCAAGTAAGTTCGTGACGAGACAGAAAAACATATTTCTTTATTTCGTTTCTTGGTGTCATTAACAGGACGCAGAAAAGCTTCTTGAACAGCTCGCCTGCGACCAGGAAGCAGTGGATCAAGTACACAGTGTGGTACAAAAAGAGGAAGAAATCATGAATGAGGAAGCCCTTAGAGTACAGGCGATAGCGGAGGAAGCTCAGAGGGACCTAGAAGGAGCCTTACCACAACTGGAGGCAGCTATTGTGGCTCTGGACTCTCTGGATAAATCTGACATTTCCGAGATCCGAGTGTACACCAAGCCTCCTACGATGGTGATGACGGTGCTGTCGGCAGTTTGTGTCCTGCTGCAGCAGAAACCAGACTGGAATTCGGCTAAACTGCTGCTTGGTGATCAGGGATTCTTGAAAAAACTTGTTGGCTATGACAAGAACAGTGTCCCCGAGAAGGTGAGCTCTTCATGTAACTGGTGGATAGTGTTCTGTGTAATTTTCGACTTGTTATTTGAGACAGGAAGGGTGTGTCTAAGAATTTGAGGTCTTCATGTAATTAGCAGGTAGTGTCGTTTGCATTGTTTGGCCTGTTAGTTTGGGACATGCGCAGTACCCTTGAAAAGTTGAGCGCTTTATATAACTGGTGGGTAGTGGTTTATTACTCAATGCAAAGCGTGTGATCGCAACACGCGTTCACGTTTACAGTGCTTTTAAGAACGTTGTTGCATTATGACTATTAAATTAGAAAACACCTTCAGGATATCTAGCCTTGTATGTCTATGGATACATAAGGTCGAGAGTGACCTTTTTTTGTGATATAGACGAGAAACTAGTGAACATGACCACAGTAACTTACATTGATTTGCTTATGAAGAATAGCAGTATCTGTATCATAGTAACGTCACCCTTACCGTCACTGTCGTTCAAAGGCCTGACAGCTAAGCACTTAACTTAAAGATGAACCATGAACGGTTCTTGATAGTCTAGGGCCTACTCCTACCGGCTAGAGGGGACGCTGTGGTTTCACAGTCAGTAGTCTGGACTCCAGGTCGAGCGGTCCTGGTTCGAGACCTGGCCTGATCATTGCGCTGTGTGTTGTGTGCCTGGCCTGGTCATTGTGCCCCCCATCCAGGAGTTAAAATGGGTACCGGCGAATTATCAGGGAAGTCTAATGAAATGCTGGGGGGTAACCTTGGGATCGGCTAGCATCCCATCGAGGGGGGAATGATGATACTTCGCTTCATGCTGTGGAAACCGGGATAATCTCTAGTTGGACTGTTCTCTTGGCTCGATTACAGCCCTTTTTATGTGTCCTTGCCGTTTTTTAGTCGACAAATTCTTTCCTTACACTAGGTCTTCACGCGCCTCAAACGATACACTCAGCATCCGGAGTTTAACCCAGAGGCTGTTGGTAAGATATCGGTGGCTTGTAAATCCATGTGTCAGTGGGTGCTGGCGCTGGAGAATTACGCTGAGGTGTACAAGATCGTGGAACCCAAACAGAGAAGATGCGAAGAAGCACAAGCTGCTCTGGCAATCGCCAAAGAAAACTTAGAACAGAAGCAGGTATGAGAAACGTGCATTCCTGAATTCCTCTGCCTTCTTTTGGTTTATGGCGAATGCGCCCCATTGCATGTTTGCCCCTCACCACCTTTGCGAGTTAACTCAACAGGAAATGAGTACGTTCTGTGATAGGAAAATGGGTCGAAAGATTTTCGGGCGAACCCGTCATACGTTAGGGGTCGAACTTGCAGTGGGGCGAATTCATCAGCTTCCCCTCTTTATGGTAGTGCAAAAACGATTCAAACGGTTTTTTTTTTTCGAATAATTTAGGTTTACAACCGAAGAAATGCTCTCATTGTATGTTAGTCAATAAATCTGGGCCACAAAGCACAATAGAAATAATGACTTGCGTTTTGGCCCAAGTGAGTTTTATTTAGAGGCCCTCTCCCTCCCCACTATGAGATAAGCCCTACCCCACCCGTCAGAAAACCCGGGTAACTAATGAGCTACCTTCCCGAGGGCTTTTCAAGGCTCCTACGGAACAAGGTATAGAGAAGTTAGAGATGTATCGGATGTTTCTTTAGTAATCTATACGTGTGGTTAAAAAGCTGGTTTTTCTGCCTTTTAGCTAAGTCTGCTGAAAATCCAGGAACAGCTTCAGCTTCTTAAGCAACAATATGATAGCAGTGTGACACAGCTGGAGGAACTCAAACAGAAGAAGGAGCTTACTATTGTGAGGCTGAAGAGGGCTTCAGTTCTTACTGCAGCCTTGGCTGAAGAGCAGGTACGATGAGAAAAAAACTTAGGGACTCTCCTGTAGTTTGATTTCTTCGGGTTTGCTTTTACGTTACTTGGTCGAAATACGTGTTAAAATTTAACTGGCTCTCCCCAGTCTTGTACTGAAATAAGGGAGGTATTGTTGGGGCTAAGCGTCTTGCCAGCTTGCATAAGAACGCAACAAAGTAACCTGGCCATGGTTCAGTTAAACCCGCTTTTTCTATCTCGGGTATTGCGCGCTAACCCCCAGACCAACGCGTCTTCCACTTAACATGACTTCATTCTCGCGGAACTCAAAATCTTGCGGTCTCAAATCGAGATGCATTTGTATGCTCATCGCATGAGACCTTTTCATAGGTTCGCTGGAGCAACTCGGTGAGCTCTCAGGAGGAACACGCCCACGGTCTTATTGGCGATACACTGGTGTCCTCTGCAGCGGTGGCTTACCTAGGTGCCTTCACGTCATCCTACAGGCACCGGCTTCTCTCGCACTGGCTGCAGCTCTGCAAAGCGGAGAACATCCCAGTGTCGGAAAATTTTGAACTAACAGAGTTTCTGTCTGAGCCGGTCGAAGTTCAAACTTGGTTGAATGATGGGCTACCCCACGATAAACACTCCATTGAGAATGCTGTACTCATGAAGCATTGTCGCCGCTGGCCACTCTTGATCGATCCGCAGGAGCAAGCGTCTAAGTGGATCACGCGGACTGAAAAAGATAACGGGCTGAAGATTGTCAAGGCCTCGGATCCAGCCTATCTCAGGACATTAGAGAGCGCCATACCGTTAGGACAACCAGTTCTGGTTGAGGTAAGTAGTAAGAGTTATTTTCAATTGAGTATCGATGGTGAGAAAGGTTCGCTTTGATCTCAGTTTACCGCGCTCCATGATGAGCTTGAAAATATTGCTGCCACTCACTAAACCAATCAGATATGAAACCGAAATCCCGCTCTATGACGGACGGACGAGTGCTCGGTATTATCTTGGTCAAAATCATAGCTGCCATCTTTGATTTTTACAATAGCGGAGGGCTGGGAAGAGAAAGAAATTAGTACCAAGGGGGTGAGGGACGGTCGAAAAGAAGGAGAGGGGAGGGATGGGGCAATGAATAATACGCGCTTTTCGCCTTTCCCGGCCCCTTCCCCCACCGTTAACTCTGACTCCAATTCAAACATGGCCATTACAGTTACAGACACGTTTTTCGATTTTGCAGGATTTGGGTGAACACTTGGACCCATCACTTAACCCAATCCTGAGCAAAAATACTATTACACGAGGTAATCAGGAAATGATGATAATCGGTGACTCCGAGATCGAATACAACAGCAACTTCCGGTTATACATGACCACACCCCTGGCAAACCCGCACTTTCTACCGGAAGTGTGCATTAAAGTCACGGTGATAAACTTCACTGTCACGCTAGATGGATTGCAGGACCAGTTGCTGTCACGCGTGGTCCAAAGGGAAAGACCAAAGCTAGAGGAGAGTAGCAAAGAGTTACTTCATGGCTTGGTAACGGATCGCTACAAGTTAAGAGAATTGGAAGATCGATCACTGTCTCTGCTTCACCAGTCACGTGGTAACATCCTGGACGACGAAGATCTTATCTCCACTCTGGATGACAGCAAGAAAGTGGCGAATGTTATTCACACGCGTGTCGTCCAATCAGAAGAGACCAAGGAGAAGATTAACCTCAGTCGAGAGAAGTACCTTCCAGTGGCCACGCGGGGTGCGGTGTTGTATTTTGTTCTCACAGATTTAGCTTACGTGGATGTTATGTACCAGTTTTCTCTGCCCTGGTTTACAGATCTCTTTGACGGCTGCATTGAGTCCGCTCAGGAGCCAGCACAGACTGCCAGAAGTGAGTCACCCATAAGGCCTGGTAGCGCAGGTACGCTTCGACCCATACGAAAGGATAAACTTGCTGTATCAAGTGCGAGTCGACCCGTGTTTAAACGTCGAATAACTGTCCACAGGCCGAAAGATGAAACTTTGTTGCCGCAATATCTCCAAGCCTTGGTAGAGCTTCTAACAGAGAGTGTCTATCGGGTGGTTTCGTACGCACTATTTGCGTGTCACAAACTCACGTTTTCTTTTATGTTATGCGCGGGAATCATGCGTCATAGTATGGCTACATCACGGGACAAAACCATCGACGAGGAAGAGTGGAATTGGTTTTTGCGTGGATCAGCGGTCGCTGCCATAACAGACAGACTCGAGAGTGAAGAGGAGTTAAATATCTCTTGGAAGGGTGAGTACCTATTTTAACCCATTAATCCTCATGATCTAAATTCTCCTAACTGTTTGCCATACATAACTTGTAATGTTAGCTCTGAGAACTTAGCATTCACATTGTCAGGAGAATTTAATTTTGGATCTCTCTTGGGAATGGGAGAGTTAACTTCTCTTTCAAAATCGATATCGACTTGGAAGTGGAAGACGAACGGTGATTTCAAAACTCAGAAAGAATAATGGCCAACGTATTACAATGGAAATTATCTGTTAGGGTCTTGATCCTCTGACAGTCTGCGTAGAAGAGATTCAATTTTAGGTTTTCATGAATAAGAAACCTTGTAACCTGCGATAACGCTCTTTTTCTGCGTTACCGCTTGCGCTGATGGAGCTCAGCAAGGGATTCCGCTAATAAACGTGATCATTCTATTCGTTATTTTTCAATGTAGGGTCATGCTCCTCGAAACTGAATTTTCTGGGTGATGAAATTTTGCTGGTGCCTGAAAAAAATTAACGTCATATCCATCCTTGTCACGACCTGACCGAGTGTCTGTCGAAGAAGTGTCCCAACCTTTAATGGCGTTATTTTTTAAACATAATAATCGGACTTTTCTGAAGTAAATGTATTGAAAATTTCATGATTTTCACAGGAAGTCAGACGACAGTCGCGGGAAGCCTGGGTCAATACATGTCGAAAATGAACAAATCTCCAACCAAGTGGATAACTGAATCTACCTGGAAGGAATGTCTTCAGCTGTCAGCCTCCATTCCGGCCTTTGCTGGCCTCTGTAGTAACATTGCAGTGAATGGTGCCTTCTGGAGCAAGTTCGCCGCGAGCGAGAATCCATTCAAGTTCATTGAAAATGAGCAAAAGCTCGAGAATACGAAGGCTACCTCAACAGAAGGTATGTGGAGTTACGTCACATATGTATATTTTCAGTGTCGGTGTCACGCAATTTTGTGTTGCGAATTACAGATAGTATGGAGTTGTGACTAAATTTTTACGTCCTTTTAAGATGGTTTTCTTTGTTACGCAGTTTTTTTAAGCCCACGTATACAGCAGAGTGACACTATGAAGAGAAATAAAGAGACGCCGGTCACTCTTTGGGGTTAAGGGGTTAACCTTTTGTAGATTATCACCATTTATAGGCAGACACTTTTTCTAACTGCTGAGCGGGGTCTCCCACGGTGGGCTGAAAATTTGGTTTAACTTGTTTTACAGATACGGATCACCACTCTCCTCAGCTCGGCTGGAACGTATCCAGTCTCTCCAGGTTTCAGCGTCTTATCATCGTCAAGGTACTGCGGCCCGAGTGTCTTGTCGATTCTGTCAGACTATTTGTGGAACAACAGATGGGGCCTAAGTTTGTCACGAGCTTTGGGTTTGATCTACAGGAAGTGTTTGAAGAGTCCAGTAGTAGGAAACCACTCATTTTTATCTTGTCTCCAGGTTAGTGCCGCTGCGCTGTTGAAAAAGTACCACAGCATGAGGGCAGAGGAGCAGGGATGGCGCAGTGGTGAGAGCGCTCGCCTCCCACCGCTGTCGCCCGGGTTCCATTCCCGCAAACTAGTGTCGCATGTGGGTTGGTTCTCGTCCTTGCTCCGAGAGTTTTACTCTGGGTCCTCCGGTTTTTCTTCCTCCACAAAAACCAACATTCTAAGTTCCAATTTAACCTGGAAAGGTGAAAAAGAAGAGCCCCCGAGTGTAATGCTCACTGCTAAATCCTATATATGTTATGACGTGAGTTAGTCTGTTCTCGAGGCAGGTGGCCCATCCACCCAGGAGTACTGCTACTAATCCTGGATGGGATGCTTTTCCATCGCAGGTGTCTCTCCTCCCCACCCCCCCCACCCCCCTTCTCGCTCAAAAAAGAACAGAATTTCAGCATCTTTGTTCATGATGTATGGCACGTTTAGAGATATTCTGCCATCGAGCATCGAGATTATTATAATGATTACATCGGAAAACCGTTATGAGCATGGAGTTTCGAATTTTTTATCGACACCAGAATTGTTTTTTTCCGTCTATCATTGAAAATTGTTATCGTGAGGCAATATGTGATCTTTTTCCTAAATTTCTGATACTTTGTTGTCTTAAAACAGAGACACAGTTCTCTATATTGCCCCGTTCTTGTGACTACTTATCAAACCGTCTTGTTATTATCTTTTTTTCAAAGGTTCAGATCCAACATCGCAGCTCATGCGGTTTGCGCGGGAGACTCGAGGGACTTCATTACATCTCGACATAATCTCATTAGGAAGGGGTCAGGGCCCCAGAGCTGAAGAGGCAATCACGAAAGCCTACCAACAGAAAGGAAAGTGGGTTTTCTTACAGAATTGCCACCATGCAGCCTCATTTATGCCGCGACTTCAGATGATTGTGAGAAGGTGAGGGAAGTGAGGAGAGGGTCATATGACAAAAAGAGTCAGGGGAGGAGAAATTAAATCGTGTCATTTTGCTATATGTTGGTGAGGGTAGGGCAGAGTGTAGGTTGTTATTGCGTCAGTTTGTTAGTCGTGCGACGTAAAGTGATCATGGGAAGGTGAGTGAGGGGGGTCTGGTAACGAGAGGAGTAAAGAGAGTTACACTGCCTCCTCGTGACCTCACTGTTTTTTTAAAAATTACCAAACCTTTTCTTGTGATCTTTAAGACTTCTACCGCTTTTGCAAACTTGGTTTCCCTGATGACACCTTGAAAGTATTATTCAGTGCGTGTTATGTGAGCTCAGGAGGGTTGAATTCTAATCCATGATTTTTAAAAAAAATCAAACCGTCTAAAGGGAATTTAATTATGGCAATAGGACTGGAGTCCAATGTGCTCTGTTACTGTTGACTTTTTGCCGAAATGAAACGAACCCTGTTTATTTAAACTGGCGCGCAAATAACGTTTGCTGTCCAACAACGCGTACTGTCTTATCACATAGTCCCCGTTAAATGTCCAACGCGTACTGTCCAATTATACAGACCCGCACGTTCTCTGTTCCACCTGTACAGTCCCAGTACACATGCCTCGCGCCTTAACTGTCCTACGTGTACAGTCCTAGTACACAAGCCCCGCGCGTTAACTGTCCCACGTGTACAGTCTTAGTACACAAGCCCCGCGCGTTATCTGTCCCACGTATACAGTCCTAGTACACAAGCCCCGCGCGTTAACTGTCCCACGTGTACAGTCCAAATACACAAGCCCCACGCGTTATCTGTCCCGCACAAGCCCGGCACGTTAACTATTTAGTGACGAACATGACGCTTACACTATCCCGTTGATGCTCAAATCGGGCTATTGGTAGCCAATCACGTTCGAGAGTTTTGTTTTACTGTTGATTAAAACTTACACTATCCTTATCCTTAGGATATCACATCCTGAAACAAATGTGCATCCGAATTTCCGGATGTGGCTGAGCTCCAAACCAGACCCCTCGTTTCCAGTGTCCATCCTACAAGCTGGACTCAAGGTACTCATCAGCATTTCTAGCATTTCCAGCATGTTGCTATAAGCAGTCACAGACATATATGAGACTTTATGGTGCCATTCTATATTTTTGGGAAGGTATAGTGCGGAAGAATATGGTAAGGCTTTTAAATTTCGCCCCGCGTTTTCCGCCTTGGTTCATGGCTTTGTTCTGACTCGCTGTTTCCGTAGGACAATCCCTCTAAAAATTTGTTAGACACAAACGTGAAGCGATAATGATAAGTGATGTTGCATGTTGCTAGCTTGCTAGTTTTTTCTTGTCGTTAAGAGTGGCTAGACACGGCATGAGATGACCCGTGAGAATAATTTGCGACGTTGTGTTAGTTAGTACTGAATCCTCGTGGGATCTCGGAAAACGGATACGGGATTGGCTCGCTCTAAACCTCCCAGGATCTCCGAAAAGGGAAGTGATCTGAATTAACTTGTCGGGGTGACCATAAGGCAATGTCCACGTTGGAATTAGGTCTCTTAGGCCAATCTTCCCTTGTTTTATCACTCTTTTATAGAGCATGCGCGAAACATGTCATTCACTTGTTCTTGCAGATGACGGTGGAACCTCCCCCAGGAATCAAAGCCAACTTGCTTCGATCTTTAGGGGGAGTGGGTGGGGTGGTGACCGAGTCTGTGTGGGAGGACACAGGGCCTGGGCCTAGTTGGAAGAGACTTGTGTTTGGTTTGTGTTTCTTTAATGCCGTCGTGCACGAGAGGAAGAAGTTTGGAGCCTTGGGGTGGAATATTCCGTATGAATTCACCGCCTCGGACCTTGAGGTATTATCTCTTGACTAAAGTTATATGTTGATTCATATTGATTTAATGTTAGAATTATTGTCTAGTCAAGCGCAACAAGTATTTCTTGTTCCTTAAACAGTTCGAATAAGCGAAAAAAACTTGTTTGAACTTAAAATTTCGCAAGCCCTCGTTTTGAAGTTTAGTACGGACCACTGCAATTTGTCTTTTTTTTTTTCTCCGGAATTTTCCGATTTTCTTCAGATTATTTTTTGCACTTAATACAGGGCTAAAGCAGTTACTCTTTTTTACGCGACAATAGGTGTCGATTTTGATGCTACACATGTTACTAACCGAGCATCACGATGTGCCGTGGAAAGCCATCAGATATCTGACGGGGGAGATTGTGTATGGGGGCCGAGTCACAGACAACTGGGACCAGCGATGCTTGCAGAGTATCCTAGGAAAGTTTTACACTCCTTTGGCCTTACAAGAGAGCTATGGTTACACTGTCGACTATGTAAGCGCGGTTTACTAGATAATTTAAGTCTTTTAGATAACGTCTATATTAGGAGTTCGCGATGAAAATTTACCACGTCTCCCTACTCGTGGGAACATAGCAGAGGCCTGGACAGTGTAGGCCTGGAGAATGATGAACAGTTTGTTTGAAAAGGAATACCTCATATTTGTTTCCACTTTTCATTATTTTTATGACTTAGTTTTTACAGCCTGCGTAGCAGATCTCATTTCAATTTGCCGCTGTCCCTCTCCCCACCCAAAACTGGAAATAATTCTGCATTCACAAGCTTTCTTTTTTTATGAGAAATTTATTAGCTTAATTTACCTATTTCCTGATCTGTTAAGGACGTTTTACAAATGGTGTTGGATGAGAATGAGTTAAAGGGCTTGATATTCTATATAGAACTTTAGGGAGTTGAATATCACGTCATGAAGGGACAGGATTTACATTCAAATCATAAAAAAGAACCGCGTTTGTTACTTACCGATCCTTCCTTTTGAAAAGTGATGAGAACTGAGGAGGGGAAGGGTGCTGGTTGAACTACAGCTCAACCACTTGAGAATGATATCGTTTCCGATGCATTTTAGGTGTACCGTCCACCTCCCCCTGAAATCTCTTTGTCAGTGTGCTGTGAATACATTGAAGGTCTACCTGCTGCTGATGCGCCTGAACTCTTCGGAATGGATCAGAATGCAGACACGGCTTTCCTTGCTGGTCGAGGAAGATCGCTCATAGCTGACCTTTTAGCAGCCCAGCCTCGCCTCACCACGTCCATAGGGTATGACTGAAACATCTCTGTCGCAACCTTTTCAGCATTTATTGAATTCATAAAAGAACTTTAAAAGAAATCTGGTGGCGCGTACGCCCTGGCGCGGGCGCAATCACGGACTTTGTTAGCACTCATTGGTTATTCAAATGGTTTAAATTTTAATGACGTAATATGTTTGGTCGCGCGTACAAAACGAAGTGGTTTTGGGATTTTTGAGTCGAACTGGACTTGTCTTGTTCCTTCGGTATTTATAGGGTTTTACGGATTTTACGGATTTTGAGGGCTGTCGGGAAAACCCTCAGAACAGTCATTTCTTATTTGTATTAAAAAAAAGAATAGAAAAAGGAAAAACTCTCAGAACGAAGAAAGTTGTTGACATTGAGAACGAGAATCTAGTGACTAGTAGAAAGTGTTGTGGTCTATTGATGTAAGGGGATGTATTTTACACAGGGGGCTTCCCTATGCTGTTTTTTTGTTTTGCAGCAGCACCTGTCAAGTATGACGCGCTGGTTAGAGCGCTTTGGAAAATTTAAGTTACTGCTTTCTGTAGGCTGTAACTCAAATTACTGAGTTTGAAATTCATCGTACCGAAATTAGTTCCTTGTTCATTTTACGGCCGGTGTTTGCCTCTCTGTGCTGTCAATCTAACTTTTATTACCATTATTTTTTATTCCTAATTTTTACCACAGCTCAAACAAAACCAATGACGACACAGTCCTGGATCTTGTGAATGACACATTAAAGTACCTCCCTCCACGAGTGGACTTCAACACCAATGACTTTACCGCTGATCTAATGAACCCAAAGCGCGGATCTATTACTCCAGACCGCCTGAGACAGGTGGCTGAGAAGAAGCTATCCCAGGATCCTTTGGCCGAGCACGCAGATCAGTCCGCATTTGTCACGGTTTTGAGACAGGAAATAAATCGGTTTGACCGATTGTTGGGGATCATTTACACATCACTTTCATCGTTGCGACTGGCCGTCAAAGGGGAAGTGCTCATGTCTGAACAATTAGAGGAGGCGTATGATGCGTTGCTTAGCAACCGTGTTCCAAAGGCTTGGGTGGTTTGTATCATTCATGGAGTGTCTCAACTCTTTAACTCCCAGAACTGATCAACATGTAACTTCTCCCTATAATATCCATACATTATCCAGCAAACAGGTAATGAGAATACTCAAACTTATCAGGTAGAAGTTGTCATCGTGATCGAAAACCAAATTCTCGTAACTAATTTACAAGGGAACTTAGAGAAGCTAGAGGAGAGAATTTAAAACAATCATATTTTGGGAGTTAAAGGGTTAAGTATTGTGAAGTACTTGTAGACCATTACTTACTTGAGTTCCATGTTAAACTTTTTTCATTTTACGGTATGTTGCATATTTTTGTTCAGTTTAGGTAGCCAAATCCAAGAATGATAACATTTGACAATAAATTAGTGGTCAGTTTTTATTTAGTAGGCACTGATTCCTAGGCCTGTTGGGGACACTTTACGCCTATGACGTCCAAACTTAAAGGTCTAAGTGCATATTAACACTAGTTTTATTCATTATAGCAAGCGGCATATGAATCCTGCAAGCCACTGGGAGCATGGGTTGACAATCTTGCCAAAAGGGTGGATTTTTTTAGCTCTTGGTTAGACTTGGTCAGGAATGATAAAAGATCAAAGTCCCGAGTGTCTCGCGAGACTGGCGTTACGCCGACACCAACCACCAGCCAATCATCGATGTCCACGCTCCCACCACGTGATCATCCTAACGCTTTTTGGTTACCAGCTTTCTTTTTCCCGCAAGGTAAATTATAATTTGTCTGGTTACCGATGGTAGTGAACGAAATAAAGATAAAGATAAAGTAATATTTATCAGCATGATAGTAGACAGTTTCGTTTCTTTTTCTTAAGAAAAATATATATCGCTTCATTTTAGCTGTAAGATATCTCTCCTCTCAGTTAACATCATCCTTCTCCGTCGTTGCGTCTTCTCCATCATGTTCCTCCTCGCCCTTCCCTTCTCACCCTCTTCTTCTTTCTTCCTCAATTTTTTCTTCTCTCCCCCGGCTACTCTTCATCTTCTTCCTCATTTCTCCGCACTTTTTTCTCTCTCCAAGGGCGAAGCCGAAGGGGGGGGGAGTGGTCCTGGGGTGCCCGTGACCCTCCCCTCCTTTGTAAGCTTTTTTTTTTTGTCACATTAAGTAAAACATTGCGTGGAGGTCGACATGACTATTTGATGATTACCCTACGTTTGACATAGTGTGACCCTCCCCCCCTTGAAAAATCTTGCCCACGCCCCTGCTCTCATAATTACAAAATTCCAGTCACCCCTCTCAGCTATCGCTTCTTCCTCTTCCTCTTCCTCTCTCTTCCTTGCATCCCTAACATTTTCATCTTTTGCGTTTTTGGTGAATTAACTGTCTTTCTCTATTTCTCAGGTTTTCTCACAGCTGTATTACAGACACATGCCCGACAGCGTAACCTCCCAGTTGACTCGTTAAGCTTCTGCTACCAAGTGCTGAATGACAAATGGACGAATGATGAACTAGTTCATAGTGAAAGCGACGTCGATTTCAAGAGAGTCGCTTTTCAGGTGAGAGATATCAGGGGAGCGACATGCACAGAGTATTCTTGAGGTTACTTTTTTTATACTTGTTTAGACTCAAAATCTGGAGGTGCCTCGCCCGGTGCAATAAACGGGAGCATATGGATCTTTGTTGATTAATGAACGGCATTTCGTGAAATTGCTGCTGAAAAGCCGTTCGTTCTAATGGTAGAATACTACAGGGTATCCGCCACAGACTTAAATTTCCTTGTTGAGAGAAATTTGCAATACTATATCAAAGTAATAATCAGTAACCTTGAGTAGAATAGTCACGTAAAAAGGTTTTTTTTTTCAACAAACTCGAATACGAAAAATTCTGGTCGACCTACCTGAGAATTTCACATATATTGAGATCAGAAAAATATCTTTCAAATCTTAGTGTAGCACTACAACATAACCATAGCAGACTATATCTTTAGAGGTCTTTATATAACTTTTTTTTTTTAATTAATAATGTCTCTCTAAACCAATAGAACCACTTTTTTCTTAGGGTGCTCCTACGGACGAAGGCTCTCTTGTTTTTGGACTTTATCTGGATGGAGCATCATGGGATTTCAAGCGAGGATGCTTGCAAGAATCCCTTCCTGGCCAGCGGTTTTACCCTCTTCCCGAACTGCTCGTCATTCCTGTACAGGTAAGCAAGCATTTCACTGTGAGCATCTTACTGCAGAAGCGTTACCCTTAAAGAAGGAACTCGAGTGTTTGCGCGTTCAAGTTATACCAAAAGTATAGCATAATGATTTTTCATCTTTTTCACTTTCAGCAAAACCCATCAACAACACCTGATGGAAAAGGTAAAGAGGATACAGAGGAAGAGCTTAACACGTACGAATGTCCGTTGTACAGAACATCTCTTCGTGCCAGCTCCCTCACGTCCACTGGTCACCCTACTAACTTTGTCACGTCCGTAAATCTGCAGTCTATTCAGCCAGCGGACTATTGGATTACCCGTGGCGTGGCTCTTCTCTGTCAACTGGACGAATGACGTCACTGTTTTCCAATGCGGTGTGAATTTCGTGAAATTATGAATTGAAAAGTTTTTAAGTTGTTGAAGAACATTTTCTGGTTTTGAAGTCCATCCACAGCTAATATGCTTTAGGTTACGAGTCTTTGCAACGATTCTTTTCGATTTTAGTTGCCACTAGGTTTTTTGCGGATGTTTATTTAAGATTAAACTGGAATCGAAGGTTCTTATCCCAAAATACCAAATATCGCTTTCCATCCTACTTCATTTGTCTCTCATTTTCGAGGGACATTCATTCATTCAATACTAATGGAATAACACCTCTGGCCCCGGTTGTTTGAAGGATTGATAACGCCATTCACTGGATATAATTCTATCCGTTGTGTAGTGCGGTACGTTTTGTTAGTGATTCCTGCCCTTCGAACAATGGGGCTCTGTTCTTTTAAACACATTCAAACCTGTTAAAAAACACCAAAGTTCGCATCGCACAAAGGTGTTTACTCGTGGACGGGTTTTGAGGCTTGAAGAGTGAGACATTCGTTGAACCCCAGCTATTTAACTGCTCCTATGTACATTTTAAGGTTTTATTTTCGTTACTTTGAGCCATAAAACGCACTAGTTACCGCCTCTCTATTTAAAACACACTCGTTGCCTCCGTGTTGTGAACCTCTTTTGAAAAGAAATTGTGAAAAGAAAAGTAGAATGTACGGCAAACTGTACAGTACCCTTAAGTTAAAACGTGTGCAGGTTTTTATGGTTTTACTGTAAATAAAGTTATTTTTTTATCATTAAACTGTTTCTAAATATAAATGGTGTTTTTGTTATGTCCAGGTTTATTGACTGGTTCCACGAAGGGAAAGGGGGGTGGTGGCAGTGAATGCTAGCGATCAGGGGGGAGGTGGTGAGGATAAGAATTTTAACTACAGAGATAAACTCTTCGGGTGTGATGGAAATTTGAAAAGATTATCTATGAGTCGAGAGGGTGTGGGATCAGATTACCCTACGGGCATTAATGAATTATAGGCATATCGTAGCAGACCATTATAAACAATGAAAAAAAGCAAAGAAATTGAAGTTCAACCTTTCACACTCAAACATCAGTATGCAAGTTCTCCTTACTTTTCTCAATACATTTCCTATGGTGCTCACAAAGATAATTTGTCTAACAATCAAGAGCGTCTGTTGCGACAAATTCAGGGCCAGCGGTTTACCTGCCGATTAGGCTTCAGTCCCCGCGCCCTTATGTATATATTTAAATTTTTTGCGCGAAAAAGAACAGAATGTTATTCAATTTGTCGTCCTTTTATCGTTTCTTTGTGACATTTCGTTTACTCCCTTTATCCAAACCGTCAGAAATTGTTGCGAACACACTGCTTTCGAATAAATTGTACGGGTACGAGTAACTATCTGGAAATTTACCGGTGCGTTCGCTACAGCGTCATTTTGATTCGGGATTGATTCGGTGGGGAGAAATTGGATGCCAATCACTCCTGGGGGTGAGGGTTATTGATCTTCGCTGTTTGCCAGAGAACAAATCGGAACACGCGAAAAAGAGCGGTGCATCAGTGAGTCATATTCCTTACGGCTTGCTTTGTATTTTACGATTCCTTCGTAGGTTTCTTCTTCATTTAGGTTTTTGTAATTTCAAAGTGAGGCTTTATTTTTTTAATTTCTAGTATAAATGTATGACATTTTATTTAAGTTCCAGCAGTTATCACTCCGTGTACACCGGTGTATTTGTTAAATCAGTTTTGTTAGTTTCGTAGCACATTTCAATTGTTGTTAATTCATTCCTCTTTTCAGGTGCAAATTCGTCGCACACAATGCTTTTCTTTCCTTCTTATTCTTGATTACCCAACTGCACGTGAAAACAAAATTCTTTGACAAATCTGTGACGTATCAGGCGCTTGTTGGTTGACGTTGTTCATCCATATTCATCAGAAACTCAAGAATTTTCAGAAAACCACGCTATCCGCCGGAGAGTGAGGACGTATCGTCCATAATGCTTTAGATACAACTGTACTCTAGAAGGAAAAGAACACGTTTTCCCCGTAACGAAGAGCAACAGAAAGTATTCTTGGTTTATTTGAATTAAAGGTGAG